AAACCCCAAGCACAGATAGCATAGGTGAAGTATGGATATATAAGTGAATGGTATAGTGTGAGAAGGGCAGTTTGCGGCACGTAGTATCGTATCTTGGAGAGGATCCCAACCATTTTGGATACTCTTTTGGTTATGTGTTGGATATGGGTGCTGAAGTTCAGGTTGTTGTCGAGGTATAGGCCTAGGAATTTGCCCTCATTATGCCTGGCAATTAGAGTGTTGTCGATCTTAATGTTAATTTGCGCATCTCCTGCTCTGCTACCAAACATAATGTAGTAGGTTTTGTCAGTGTTAAGCGTAAGTTTATTGGCTGTCATCCAAGTCGATATTTTGATCAGCTCCTCATTAACAATGGTGTTGAGGGTGGCAAGATTAGGGTGAGAGATGACATAAGTCGTGTCGTCAGCAAAGAGAATGGGGTTCAGGTGTTGAGATACGTTTGGAAGATCATTGATGTATATGAGAAGAGCAGGGACAAGGACACTTCCCTGCGGAACTCCAGTATCAAGTGGCTGTGTTGTTGATGCTGTGTCTTTAATGGTGACATACTGATACCTATTAGTAAGGTAAGATTTGAAATATGCAAGCGCATGGCCTCTTATACCATAATGGTCAAGTTTGTGGAGTAGGATGCCGTGGTCTACTGTGTCAAAAGCTTTTCTTAGGTCAATAAAAATTCCTAGTGGACATTCCTTATTTTCCAATGCTGTGTAAAGCAGATCTAGCATTTTTATGATTGCATCGTTAGTGCTTTTATTCTTCCTGAATCCAAATTGGCAGGGGTTGAGTATGTTTTGTGCCGTTGTAAATGAATATAGTCTCCTGTGCACGAGTTTCTCAAAGATTTTGGATAGCAATGGTAAGTTTGATATTGGCCTATAGTTGTTTAAATCTGTTGGGTCACCACCTTAGCTAAGTACACGTCACCACTGAGCTAAGTACACGTCACCACTGATCTAAGTACACGTCACCACTGAGCTAAGTACACGTCACCACTGAGCTAAGTACACGTCACCTTGGTGCTCATTATGATATTCCCAGTAGACAACCCACATTCGTCAGGTAGTACCGAAAATGGGTTGGAAGTTTCCACAGTAGTCTTCTGGTTCTTCGTTGTTTCTGCCACTACAATAGTCTTCTTGATCTTCAGCTTCATTTCATGTTGCTCAGCCACTAACCAGGTTCCCCTCTTGACCTGAGGACTCACAACAAGAGGACTACTACTAATCCTCATGCTTTTCTCAGTCAATTGCCGTATCTCGAGCTTGGCCACCCTCAATTCCTCTTTAAGCTGCTGGTAAAGTTGCTCAATGGAGGGCATCTTGGTTCAGTCCACAGAGAGTACACTAGACACATCTTCACTTCTAAGCTTATTTCTTGGGTAGCATTGAAAATTGGGTTGGGTAAATATTTTTAGTGGGATGGATTGTAAAGGACCTGTTGATAAATTAGGCACATGTGCAACTCTTGGGTATCTTTATTGAGGAAACGTTTTGCCACACAGTGGCTTCATCAGTCCATACAAAGGAGAATCTTGAAGAACAGGAGGAGAATGAGGTAATCAGTCCCTCAACCTTGAGTCGATGTGGTCAGTCCATCAATCTTGAATAGAATACGGCATACGTGCGGAGAAGGAGCTTATAAACCGTTGGTAGGAGAGGTGCAGCAGTCATAGGTGGTGTCACATTTGTTCAATGTGGAAGTAGGTCGTGCCTAAGAATTAGGCAAGCGAAGAATTCCCAAGTATTAAGATCCCAAGAAGTTGCAGTGTCTGAACAGGTTTGTAGATGAATGGTTCAGAGAACCGACATGTTGATAAATTAGACACATGTGCAACTCTTGGGTATCTTTATTGAGGAAACGTTTCGCCACACAGTGGCTTGAAGCCACTGTGTGGCGAAACGTTTCCTCAATAAAGATACCCAAGAGTTGCACATGTGTCTAATTTATCAACATGTCGGTTCTCTGAACCATTCATCTACAAACCTGTAAAGGACCTGCCTAGTATGGGCCAACTGGCCTGCTGCAGTGTTCCTCCTTTCTTATGTTCTTACGTTCAGATATGCTGATGATACAAAAAATAGGCCGAATTATTGATTCTGAGGAGGATAACAATGAACTCCAGGAGGATTTGGACAAATTAATGTCTTGGTCTGAAAAGTGGCAGATGAAGTTCAACGTGGACAAAGTAAGGTCCTAGTCTTGGGAATGAGAATAATCCTCGAAGTTATAAACTAGGTGAAGCAGAGCTTGATCGCAGAGTGTGAAAAGGACTTGGGAGTCATGGTAAGCAGAAACCTAAAACCAAGACAACAGTGCCTAAGTGTGCACAATAAGGCTAACAGATTACTAGGATTTATCTCAAGAAGTATAAGTAACAAGAATCCAAAAGTTAGTTCAGGACAGAATAATTACAGTTTTGATATAGTTTATAAAAAATATAGTATTACACTGCAGAACAAGTTAAAACAATTTACAGTACTGAAGTATTACAATTCAGTATATTTTAAAACAATGAGATTGAAGCACTTATAAGTTTGAAGTAATGAGTAAATGGTTGAGCAATCATCAGCGATATACAATAATGAAATTGAAGCAATTTTAAGTTCGAAGTAAATTATCAAATAACTGAGCAGTCTTAAATTATTTAGAAGTTTTTGAGTAGCTTTTGAGTAACTGGTAAGTATTAAGTAAATTGTTTGTCTGGCAAATTTTGGTGAGGTGATTTCTAAGTAGGGTCTTAAATTGATTTGCAGGCAGGGGTCCTTTAGTGCGTTCTGGCAATAGATTCCAGATCTTCGGGCCCTTTACGTGCATAGATTACAGAGTAGGTTTCTTCAGTCAAGTACAGATTCAATAGGTGTAGCAGTAAAATGAAGATGATGTGGTGAGTCCCTCAGCCTGGAGTAGTTCAGCTCCATGGTCTGGAACAATATGTTGTAATCATCAACTTGTCGGTATTTTTTAAGGAGTATAAGGAGCTATTCCTTATGTTTATGCCGGGATCCAAGCCGGGTCCTTCTGTTGTGACTTGATGGCTCAAACTTTCAGCAGTTAGTTTTAGTTTAATATGTTTATTATGCACCCCATACCCATCCTGTGGGCGGTAGTCAAAAGATTACAGAGGTACATAATGGGTCCAGGGACTGGGCCTCAAAGTTTTGATAGCTGAGCAAGTTACAGAGGTAATGAATTCACAATTTACAAAGGTAATGAACTCACAATTTACAAAGGTAATGAACTCCAGGTAAGTCTAGTCACAATCATGACAAGTTACAAAGGTATTTACAGATTACAGAGGTACATAATGGGTCCAGGGACTGGGCCCCAAAGTTTTGATGGCTGAACTAGGTGCAAGGTAATGAACTCACAAGTTACAAAGGTAATGAACTCACAAGTTACAAAGGTAATGAATACATATATATATACTTCAATAACGAAACTACAGACTGACACCACCAAGATTCTTCAGGCCACACGACAGGCTCCCCCATCCAGCAACTCACTCTCTCCACTTCCTGACGGTACTTCCTCCAAGGTGCTGTACTGCATGGTGCATGCGCACCTTGCAAATGCAGCAAACCCTGGTACTTTCAACTCAACTATAAATCAGCAATAAGGGTTGATTAGAGAAAATGAAGCGTTATAACAGTGGTGGCCCGTGGCCTGGTAGGCAACGCTTTCTTCACACGATGAGTGTTCGTGGTTCGATCCCTGGGTGTGTTTTCTTACACCTGCTGTCCCGTTCACCTAGCAAGCAAGTAGGTACCTTGGTGTTAGTCGACTCGTGTGGGTGGTATCCTGGGCGACAAAATTGAGGACCACAATGGAAATAAGACAGTCCCTCGACGACGCACTGACTTTATTGTGTTAACCTGGGTGGCTAACCCTCCGGGGTTAAAAATCCAAATGAAATCATATCTAGAATTACTGACAAAATGTTAGGTAAATGGACAAAGATGCAACTAATATGACGTTTTATTGTGGTAACGTTTCGCTCTCCAAGAACTTGGTGAAGCAGTGTTCTTGTTATGTTTGTAACAGCTTGATAAAGCTCATGGAGAACGAAACGTTGCCACAATAAAATGTCACATTAGTTGCACTTGTCTCCATTTACCTGACAAAGAGAAGAGTAGCTCTAATTTCTTAAATTAAGAGCTCTTTTACCAGCACGAAGACACTCCTGCTGAGTATATTGTATATGATAATCATTGTAAATATTGATGGAGAGTAAGACACCGGGGAGACGGACTCAGCAGTTGTGCACTACATATTCAGCACTGAACCCCACCAGGGAAATAAGTGCTTTGATGCCGGTGAGGTGCTTTTGATCCAAGGAACTGGAGTTAAGCCAGCCCGTAATGCTATGCATATAAGTGGCTTTGGCATGCTGCTCTTACCTGTATTTTTTGTACCTCTGTTTGTATGCTAAAATTTCTAAATAAATAAATAAATAAATTAATCTCCCCTTCCATGGATCGAATCTGAGTGCCTCCCAATACCCCAGGAGCTATGCCCCTACGTGTTTAGCGCTTCTACGTGATTTAAATGAGAAATCAGCATTCTTAAAGGAACTGGCGGTTTATATTATCATATTGTGGATGGGAAGAACTGTGAAATTTGAAAAATGAGGGACACAGGGATATTAAAGTGTAATTAAAATGGTAAAGGAAATTAGACATTGAATTTATTGAGTTACTCTTGATTAAATATATATAATAGACTTTTTATACGACTATAACATTTATGTGTCATCAAGACCATTGTAAAGAAAATTGTATGTCATGCAGGCAAAAGCCTAGTTCAAAATTTACTTATAAACTTACTAAGGGTTTATGGCAATACCCATGTTCGGTAAGTGAAGATGTGGTAGTAAGATGACCAATGACTGGTAGAGTAGGAAGTAATGAGAGTTATGATTGGTTGTTGCCACCTTCGGTACCCAGCATGGCGGCCTCCCAGTACAACCTCTCTCAATATTAAATAGCCGTTTGGTAAGTTCTTGCATTTGTTTAAGAAGTTTGTCCCATTATATGCAGCCTTATACCTCTAGCTCCTTATTATCGACGTGTGTGCTTGCAAGTAGGCGGAATTAATGCAAAATTGAGGAGAATAGAGCGTTAGAAGCGAGAGAAGGAGGAACATACGGGGATAAATAGGCATCAGTGGTACGGGCGAGTGCATATTTGTGTGATTGAATTTTCCCAGCAAGAGGAGAGGAGGGCGCCATCATTGCAGCTGCTGCTGCATAACAATGTTGACACCATCATTGTACACCTAGACCTTGTTAGGTGCACAGATGACTCTCCCCAACGGTGACAGTAACTCAGTGGCTGGTGACTCTGGGGATGACTTGGTGAGTCAGTCATCCTCTTGATTCTTATATACATAATGATATGTGAATAACTAAAGTGTAATGAACACTTGTCAGCGCTCAGTAATAACCCACATGAAGACAAACAAGAGGCTGATTGATCTGTATATTTAGACTCTTCTGGGATCTGCTGAAGAGGACCCCAGAAGTGGGTCGAAATATGCAGATCAACCTCCTGTGTTTCTGTGTCTGTGGGTGATTTTTGAGCATGTGTACCTGTGTCTAAATAAATATACATATACATAAATGCATGCATATATACATACATTAATGCATGCATTCATTGTATATGGGTGTAGTAGAGATGGAAGGAATTGTTAATAGGAATGAAAAGATTGAGTCTAAAGTGAAATGCACCACATATTAGTGGCTTTCTTTTGTGCCTAACTATTTTATTTAACGTCAACTACATTATCTACATGCTATATAAAAATATAAAGAACTTGAATTTAGCATTAAATGCAACAAAGCTAAGACAAGCAGGAGAATTTCAGTGGAGAATAAATGGGGGTTAAATCGGACATATATGAGAGCACTAGAGTTAAGAGTAGCAGTAATATTAAATAACTGTGGATTAGTATAAAGGTGGCCTATCTGAGTCAGATTAAGATATACCTTGTATCCACTATCTCCACATACAGTGCTATGCCCCATTATCTGCAACTGTTTGTCATTGCATTATACCTTCATCTCTATATACACTTAACTAGCCTACCTTGTAGTCAGATTACACCCTTATGCAGTACTTATTTGTACTGTTTGTCCATTCCAGTACTGTACAGGAGGGCCCCGCTGTACGGTGCTTCGCTAATATGGTCATTTCAAATTATACCAAAAAATTTATTTATATGGCTCCTGATTCGCTATTATGGTGTCTGCACGCCACTCTCATTCTCTATTTACATCCTCTGTGAACTCTGTCTCTCCATTCTGTTTGGAAACTTGCAAGAGTTTCAAGTGTTTTAAAGTTTTTGCGTATTTTATATATACATACTCTTTTTGTGTTATGACGGCATCTAAGGGTAGTTGTGATAAAAAGAGGAATTGTGCAAGCTTCTAGAAGGGTTACAGATATGCCCAGTCACTATTTAATGGTAGCTGCGACGAGAGCATTAGGTAGCTGGAGTACATGGAGGTCATCAGTGGATAAAAATGAGGAAAAAATTAATGAAATAAGACTGCCAGCTAGGGCATATATCATATAAGCAACAGTTCAGACAGAGGTGAGCAAGAGAAAGTACAGATAATGAGATCAAACAGGCACTGACTAGATTTTAAGTAGTGGTGTGCTGAAGTGTCAGTATAAGTTAATTTTAAAGGTATCAGTATTGGCCAATTTTGAGGGTATCAGTACCAGTATAAGTGGGCATCGGCTATTTTTTGTGATAACAGTATCAGCCTAAAGTTGAGTATCAGTATAGACAAAAAAATTTGGTATGGGTAGGAAGAAGAATGAATGGTGGAATGATGAGGTAAAAAGGGTGGTAAGGATAAAATTAGCAAGAGAGGTTTTTACAGTATAGAAGAGAAAGAGAGGTTGATTACAGAAGAGCAAATGAGAGAATGGGTGAGGCTTTTATTGGCTAATTTTGCTGGTTAGTTTGCTCACTGTACTGTATGCATGAATGAATGCAAAGTATCTAAGGGTTGGCAGTGAGCATGCATAGTTACATAGGGAACAATGGGCAAGAATGAGTGTAAGAATTATATAGGAATAAATCTGTTGATTATGTTGGATACAGTGTATGGTAGGATTATTATTGAAGGAGTTAGGGATAACACACAAAATAGGATTGCAGAGGAACAATGAGGATTTAGGAGTGGTAAGGGATATAGGTTTGTAGATCAATGGTTAAGAGAACCGACACGTTGATAAATTAGACACATGTGCAACTCTTGGGTATCTTTATTGCTTCTCCGCCCATATGCCGTATTCTGTTCAAGATTGATGGACTGACCACATCGACTCAAGGTTGAGGGACTGATTACCTCATTCTCCTCCTATTCAAGTTTCTCCTATGTATGGACTGATGAAGCCACTGTGTGGCGAAACGTTTCCTCAATAAAGATACCCAAGAGTTGCACATGTGTCTAATTTATCAACATGTCGGTTCTCTGAACCATGATCTACAATCCTGTCAGACACTGCAACTTCTTGGGATCTTAATACTTGGGAATTCTTCGCTTGCCTAACCCTTGGGCATGACCTACTTCCACATTGAACAAATGTGACACCACCTACATCTGCTGCACCTCTCCTGCCTATGGTTTATAAGCTGCTTCTCCACCCATATGCCGTATTCTATTCAAGATTGATGGACTGACCACATCGACTCAAGGTTGAGGGACTGATTACCTCATTCTCCTCCTATTCTTCAAGTTTCTCCTATGTATGGACTGATGAAGCCACTGTGTGGCGAAATGTTTCCTCAATAAAGATACCCAAAAGTTGCACATGTGTCCAATTTATCAAGGGATATAGTTATTGACCAAAGTGTTCACAATGAAGACTGTAAGTGAACATTTCTTAAATAAAGCTGATGTTGTGAAAGGGGTAAATGTGCAAATGAAACAGAGATCACAAACAATCGAAGATGTTGAGAAGTTGTTGTTGGTGTGGATCAACGAAAAACAGTTAGCGGGAGATAGTGTTGTGGAGGCGATAATTTGCAAAAAGGCAAGGCAGTTGCATGCAGATCTTGCAAAGGACATGTGTGCAAAGTGGATTGAGTTGCAAAGTTTTGTGGAGAAATATCACCCTAACAAAGCTGTAGCAAACTGTGTCTGCAACATGTTCAATGACAATGCCTTGTCCCATTTTATGCAAATCTTAGAGACCCCAGAAACAGACATCTCTGGACAGAGTTTTTGTGCGACAGGGGTCAAGTGACTCAAGCTGGTCCTAGTGCCAGTAAAAGACAAAGAAAGGAAGTAACCCCAGGTACAGCCTTGATACCTGAAGTCCTTATGGAGGGGGATTACTCTTCCAAACAATAACCTCTCCTCCTCCCTCTCCCCTCCTCACCATCTTCCAAATGCCAACAAGTATTTTTTTTTTTTTATTATCACACTGGCCGATTCCCACCAAGGCAGGGTGGCCCGAAAAAGAAAAACTTTCACCATCATTCACTCCATCACTGTCTTGCCAGAAGGGTGCTTTACACTACAGTTTTTAAACTGCAACATTAACACCCCTCCTTCAGAGTGCAGGCACTGTACTTCCCATCTCCAGGACTCAAGTCCGGCCTGCCGGTTTCCCTGAACCCCTTCATAAATGTTACCTTGCTCACACTCCAACAGCACGTCAAGTATTAAAAACCATTTATCTCCACTCACTTCTATCAAACATGCTCACGCATGCCTGCTGGAAGTCCAAGCCCCTCGCACACAAAACCTCCTTTACCCCCTCCCTCCAACCTTTCCTAGGCCGACCCCTACCCCGCCTTCCTTCCACTACAGACTGATACACTCTTGAAGTTATTCTGTTTCGCTCCATTCTCTCTACATGTCCGAACCACCTCAACAACCCTTCCTCAGCCCTCTGGACAACAGTTTTGGTAATCCCGCACCTCCTCCTAACTTCCAAACTACGAATTCTCTGCATTATATTCGCACCACACATTGCCCTCAGACATGACATCTCCACTGCCTCCAGCCTTCTCCTCGCTGCAACATTCATCACCCATGCTTCACACCCATATAAGAGTGTTGGTAAAACTATGCTCTCATACATTCCCCTCTTTGCCTCCAAGGACAAAGTTCTTTGTCTCCACAGACTCCTAAGTGCACCACTCACCCTTTTCCCCTCATCAATTCTATGATTCACCTCATCTTTCATAGACCCATCCGCCGACACGTCCACTCCCAAATATCTGAATACATTCACCTCCTCCATACTCTCTCCCTCCAATCTGATATCCAATCTTTCATCACCTAATCTTTTGGTTATCCTCATAACCTTACTCTTTCCTGTATTCACTTTTAATTTCCTTCTTTTGCACACCCTACCAAATTCATCCACCAATCTCTGCAGCTTCTCTTCAGAATCTCCCAAGAGCACAGTGTCATCAGCAAATAGCAACTGTGACAACTCCCACTTTATGTGTGATTCTTTATCTTTTAACTCCACGCCTCTTGCCAAGACCCTCGCATTTACTTCTCTTACAACCCCATCTATAAATATATTGAACAACCACGGTGACATCACACATCCTTGTCTAAGGCCTACTTTTACTGGGAAATAATTTCCCTCTTTCCTACATACTCTAACTTGAGCCTCACTATCCTCGTAAAAACTCTTCACTGCTTTCAGTAACCTACCTCCTACACCATACACCTGCAACATCTGCCACATTGCCCCCCCTATCCACCCTGTCATACGCCTTTTCCAAATCCATAAATGCCACGAAGACCTCTTTAGCCTTATCTAAATACTGTTCACTTATATGTTTCACTGTAAACACCTGGTCCACACACCCCCTACCTTTCCTAAAGCCTCCTTGTTCATATGCTATCCTATTCTCCGTCTTACTCTTAATTCTTTCAATAATAACTCTACCATACACTTTACCAGGTATACTCAACAGACTTATCCCCCTATAATTTTTGCACTCTCTTTTGTCCCCTTTGCCTTTATACAAAGGAACTATGCATGCTCTCTGCCAATCCCTAGGTACCTTACCCTCTTCCATACATTTATTAAATAATTGCACCAACCACTCCAAAACTATATCCCCACCTGCTTTTAACATTTCTATCTTTATCCCATCAATCCCGGCTGCCTTACCCCCTTTCATTTTACCTACTGCCTCACGAACTTCCCCCACACTCACAACTGGCTCTTCCTCACTCCTACAAGATGTTATTCCTCCTTGCCCTATACACAAAATCACAGCTTCCCTATCTTCATCAACATTTAACAATTCCTCAAAATATTCCCTCCATCTTCCCAGTACCTCTAACTCTCCATTTAATAACTCTCC